TCAGCCCTTCCCTTGAATGAGAACTCTTCTATTTCAGAATCATCTGCTAAAAGAGCACAGTTGTTCCTATTCCATTTTGGTGTCTCTTTAGGGAAAAAGTCGGCATAGCGTAATGCAAGTGCTACCTCGTTTAATTTATACCTCAACATGACCTCACCCAACACACTCTCACAGCTACAGAATTGGAAATAAGCATATCAAATCTTGGGCAGAAAAGCCAAGCCATTTATATTAGTTCGTGCAGTAACTAAGTCAATTTTTGTTAGTTTGGGGTGGAGAGAGTACTCATACCATTTAATTTTTGGCATTTTCTGGACCTCTGCCTAATTTTACTTATTTCAGAGATTCCCATCAGAAGCAGTTGGGATTCACTTCTGGACAAAGAGCTCATAGTGATAGACTTGCAAGAAGAATATATGTATTTTTTTTTCAAATTCCTATTGACATGTGGAAACACTAAAAGGTGTTTCTTTAAAATAAAAGCCTATTGGTCCCTCTGGTTATGAGCTTTTACTATAAAGCAAGACCAAAAACTGTAAATGTCATGCCATTAAAAGCTGCACTTGTGGATGTTTTGCTACTAGCAATGAATTCTCTAAAAGGTGTCCCAACGTACGTCCTTAGACCAACACGGCTACAACCTACGTCCCAAATTATGACATTGAAAGTTCTCTGCTTGGACAAAACAAACAAATGTATTTTTTTGTGTTAAAAAAATAAAATAGGAATTGAGGCAACATCAGTAGCTTATTAAAAATGTCCCCAAGTAGTTACTAACTTGCTTACACAAATACTTTCTACAGGGGAGAATAAACTGCATAGAGACGTTTCTAAGGAACAAAAATAATGTGAGTGCATAATGAAATCTACTTAAAATGTGGTTTTGCTGAGCGTGTAGGGCAGGGGCGGGCAATTATTGTGGGTGGAGGGCCGCTTACTGAGTTTCAGCAAGCCACTGAGGGCCACATGACGGGGAACCCAGGGCAGATTAATATTAATTTTCTAAATTTTTTAGGAGCCCCACAGGCCAGATAGAATGGCCTGGCGGGCTGCATCCGGCCCCCGGGGCCGCATTTTGCCCACCCCTGGTGTAGGATGTACAAAAAAGTAAGGACTATTTCTCTTCTTATTACAAACAGGATAAAAGCAAGGGGTTGGGCATTTACCCACTGCTGACAGTTTGATCACTGCCATACAAATACATAAAGAGCTACATGCACAATGCATCTGCTCCAAAAGGAACAAAAGTCACTAGAACTATGTTTTATGCGGCGATGCTTAGCTGAGCGCCATCTTACTACTTTGCTTTCCCCAATTGCTCATTCAGAGAAGTTGGCAACTTTAATAGACAAATTCAATGTCAGGATTTTGGCGGGGCCTAGCTAAACTCTGAATGAACCCCACCTGATCTGAACTTTAGCAATGTTTTGATATTGCCACTGGTTTTATCTTTAGGAAGAGCTGAACAAAAATCCTGGATCTTAAAAGAGGCGGGCATTGGAGAATTCAAATGCAGAGTAAAAATGAGGGGTTTTTAAATTGCTCGTGCTTGTGGAATAAACAAGCTCAAGCTCTCCATCTGGTATGGAAACCTGCACACTGTAAAATGATTCATCAGTGCTCAAAGAGCCTTAATGTGTGAAGATTGCAAGTGCCACTTCCTAGGGAAAGCAATGTACAGCCCAGAAAAACTCTCAGATCTATTTAATGCACACTGCATTCTTGCCCTAGAACAAAAGAGCAACTCCCACAACATTCAGGTGCATTCAGTAAGCCATATGGGCGAACACTGACTTGCAAAGATACTTGTAGGCGATGTATGCAAAGGTTTGGTGGGCAAGCCTCATTGCTCTGAAACTTTGACACGGGAAAGTCAAAAGATCAAAGCTGAAAATAATTCTTTGTGGTCCATAGATTGAGATTATCATGTGTCAAAACAGAGTTCATAATTTACAGTAATAAAGGCCATGTTCACAACTAGTCTGGCGCTAGTTATAGGTGAAGTTATTTGCAGCTTCCTTGACAGGACTAGACAAGATTTCCTGCACCTGCATTTGCAAAGAGAGGGCAGCCCTGTGGGCAGGACCTATCTGGCAGAGATGAAAACAGGCTGTGTTAGACTACCTCATAAACATCTCTTAGACAGTTGTATATTAAAGATCAACTCCTCCATAGAGATTGTTATTCTGCCTGCTCTTTACAGGGCTTTGGTTTAACTTCATTAGAGGCTGCTACCTTGGGGTGCCTACACACATACTCCAACACATTGTATGCATTGCAGCAGACTCAATTCATCTAATTAGAAAGCTCTAGCATTGCTGTAGCATGGAGTGTACAAGGCCCTGCAGGTTTAAATATGGTTACTGGTGCACGTTAACTAAAGCTTGTTGAATGAGCTTTAGTTAAACCACCCTGCAGCCATTTTTAAATGTGCGGGGGCTTAATACACATGACACTGCTGTGTTCTTTGGGAAAACTCTCATTAAAACACCCCTCCCCCTGCCAGCATGTGCAGAGGCACCCTTGGTTTCCTGTCTGCTGATGTGGTTTTGCTTTTCCATTTCACTGACTTCTCTTTCACTTCCCTCTTGCTGCTTGTTACATAAGCAAGACATAGCTGCCTTTTCCTACATGAATCCCTTATTGCTTGCGGGATCTGATGCCCTTGTGGAACGTAGACCTCTCAGCGAAGCCTATTCCACTTCACTGCCCACGCTTCCAAAATATCCTACCTGTGCTCACATCATCCAGGCTGCCTTCTTTTCAGCACACCTGACTGTGTTGCTACAGCAGGTCTAACTATGTCTGACCTTTCCGTGGCACAGATCCATTAACCCAATTTTTGCAGCCTGCCATCTGCTCTTTAGCTGATCTTCCCAGAGATTGCCCTCATCTCTTGTCTATCTACCTCCACCTTTCACTTATCCATCTCTTCATGACACAAGAGATTCATTTCTCCAAGAGGCCGAGGAAAAATATGAAATGAGAATTTTATTAGGGCCATTCCCTAGTGTCAACCATGGTGACTCAGAGTAGTCAGGCCAGAGTGATGGCAATAAGTTGGAAAGAGCCTTCGAGAAATAAAATTCAGGTGGCCAGAAGCAACTCAGTAGGTGGAGTTCACAGGGCTGGGAGGGACCTCGTGAGACCATCAGGTCCAGGTTCTTCCTTTCAAGAAAATACTGAAGAAATTATACATCGCACAATACTTGCAACTCCCGACTACAAATATTTGAATGTAAAAATCCCCTTGAACGTACAAGGTGAAGTGCACAATTACCAGCTGTTCTAAGTTTCAATTTGAGCAATAATTTATTAATAAACTTGAGTTCCGCCTGATATTTATTTAAGTTTGATGTGGTATTCTCTTCCTGCCATGCACATCGATGCAGGGTGTTACACCGCATTAATTGGCCACCATACTTTGCTTCAAAGGTAGCTACAAACAAATGTGTTGCTATTGTCAGGCTTGCCCTTTACTCTCCAAATCAGCCATGTGGTAAACCTTGACTTTTAATAGCAGCCTGCGAATGTGTGGTTTTCTCTCATACCTTACACTCAGTAAAAAGTCTTTGAAACCCTTTTATTGAACTATTCATCAGTTATTTGCAGGTGAAGGATAAGCAGAATAAATAGAATAGGAAAATTAGTTCCTACGAATACCACTATACACAGGAGTGAGTGAAGCTGTTGTGTCCGTCCCAGTGCAAAGGGAAGCAGATTTGTGCACGTGCAAAGTGAAGTAAAAGAGAGCTCTTCACAGTAAGTCTAGTGGACTTACAATTGAGAAAGCCAAGCTCAGGCCCTATTTCTGACCTTCTGGGGGACCTAGGGTGAGTCACTTGAACTTCGCTTTCCCTGGTTTAAACTAAATTCTTCAGGATAGGGATTGCCTCTTAATATGGTTTTGTACAGAACCTAGGACATAGGTCTCCCGGTACTACTTTAATATAAGTAAAATGCACATAAAGTCCCTGAAGCATCATTACTGTCCTCGCAAGAACAATGGGCAAAAAAAGAGGGGTGGTCAGAGACAGGGTGTGTCAGAGGAGAGTTCATCCTTGTGTCGCTAATATAGGGCTCTCTCTCAGGTCTTATTTCTGTTGCAAGGGGGAAGAAACTTGGTGAGAGCCTTAATTCATGGCCATTTGAACTGGAATCAGGTTGCCCTTGTATGTCGTGCTCCTTGTTCTTTTTTACCTGGAATGGCTGTACATACCACGTGTTCACCAAGGGGTTTGAATTACGGGGGAGTTCGGGGGGCTGAGCCCCACCATAAAAGACAAGACCCCCCCTGTAAGATTTGAAAATCATAACCTGGGGGGGTAGGGGGTGGTCCTCCAATTGTATTAGGGCATCGTGATGGGCAGCTCCAGACCCCGCCAAGAGTCAAAGTGTAATTCAACCCTGGAAGACCCGACCATCTCACCCCAGTGAAGATAGAAGACAGTCTAAAACAGGGTATTTAGTTGTGTTATGGGCTTTTATTTAAAAAGCACATTTATACAGCAATAATTTCGCAGATACAAACTTTAATTTTGTATTCTACAAAAGTCTTTGAATATTCTTCTCTTTACAAAATGAAACATTACAAAAATACAGACAATTTAATATGATTTTTTTATACAAATGTCTCTAATTGTAGTTATTTTCATTAAAATATTACTACCACAGAACTACAATATTTTAGTCGACTATAAAAAAATTAATTCAATGCTTTTTTAAGCAGCAAAATGTAAATAACACAGGTCAGGACACAGTTTATAATCATAGTGGATATATCTAAAAATTGTTTCAGAAATAATATTTTACATAGTTAATTTTTAATGTTTTATACATTATTTATATAATATTTATATATAAAAATCATAGCTTGCTATAGTTGAAATGACAGGACGGATTCTGTAAGAGAGGATGTGCAAATGGCCATTCTGCGTAGTATGCATGATCCCTTTTCAGTGTAAGTCTTGAAAAGTTTTTAACCTCGATCTTAAACGTTCAGCTTTAATTTCCATCAGAAAGCCAAAGAACTAGGGTTGCAGGGTAAAAACCCCACTCTCATGTACACCTTCTTGATTTACCACTGGTGTAGCGGAAGACAGAATTTGGCCTATTGAATGGCTTATACCATGGCACTACCCACAGGCGTTGAGGGGAATGCACAAACTGACTGAAATCCAGGCTGGGACGTTCCGCCCAGCAGCCCGTCCCAAAACTGCAGAACCAATGTTCCCTGGGACTCAATCCCAAGTACATAGTGCTAACATATCTTCAATAAGTCCAACCACTAACATTTTACATGACATGCACTCCCAAGGGCGGCAGCAATAATAGCAAAGAAAATTCTGCTGCAACTTGTAGGGGTGAAGGGAAACGAAGGAAGGTTTTTTTGTGTTTTATTAGACCATTTGTTGCTTCTGTGTGTGCTTGATGCCTCATGCAGTTCTGTCACGGGGGATACGATGGAAATGAAGAGATTTGGGGTCTAACTGGATGATGGATTCATTCGCGTTCAGTCTGTTGTGGAAATCTCTTATAGTGTTAACTTTTTTTAACTTGTATAGTGTGAGCAGACACCCTTCAGACACCTTTGCGAGGGCAAACTTCTAAACTAAGTCACAGTATGGAACGGAGTTGAGTAAACCAATATTAATGCGAACAAAAATAGCAACTCGTATAGACCAATCCCAAATCTTGAATCAGTGCTGTTTCTTGTATATAGTGCTATATCATTTTAGTTGTGAGTTTCTTTTTTTCTTACAGGCATTGGAAATATTCATAGTAAAAACGCTGGCCGGCTTCACATAATCATTTAGTGTTCATTACGCTATGAACAATTTGGTGTTCACTATAACATGAACACTCAACCAATTGCACATCCAGAACTCCGGCACCACTATTTTTTTCCTTTTTCACTGTTTTTTGTTTTTTTTAATTTTATTTGAACACCACCTATTTCATGCAAATGTTGCAAGTGAAAAGGCCACAGAGTTAGACCTTACTGGTTGGGCAAGAAAGTCTCTCCCTACATTCTACTGTCTGATGAGATTTGAGAGCAGCAGGTAGTTGCTGTCAGCAGTCATTTTTGCAACAAAAAAAAATTTAAAAATAAAATTAAAATATAAAAAAGACCAGGTTTTTCAATGGTCTACACCATATTGTGGTGATTGTTCCGTTCAATGATGTCCACAGATGAAAGAATGTCCTTCCGTGTTGGAGGAGGAGGAGGCAGAGAAGTCTTCATCTTGGGCTTGAAGAGGTCTGAGACGTAAAACACCTGCAAGTACAAGTTGAGAGATCAATGCCACTGCGTCTGATGCTATGTATTCAAATACTATTTGGAGCCTGTTGATGACGGTGCTGTGTTTGTACTCAAAACAAATTCTCGGTGTTACCCAATCACTGGATATAGCCCAAAACCCAGCATGCTAATCACAGCTTTGCCACTTCGCTGTGAGGCTAGAGAGAAGGACTGCGAGTCCCACGGTTCCCACAGGGGCAGTGGGAATTGAGGGGACTTAGTACTTTGTGGGCTTAGGCCCTTGACAAATGTAAGCCTGGGTATCTACAATGCTTCTTTACCAACAGGATGTTGTGACGTTAAATGATGATTATACGTACACCCTACAAATAACATGATAACGCAGAACTACACTACAGGCCTGGAAGCCCAGAAAGGAAATGATAAAAAAAAATGAAAGTAAAACCTAAATCCATTAAAAAGCACGACCCACATACACAAAGCTACATCTTCACACAAGTCGTCCCATTGATTTAAAATGTGTCAGAGCAGCTCAACCAGACAGACTTCTGATGCAGTCCTAAAATTAAAACTGCTATAAGAAGTGAATTGTCCATAATGAGTCAGGGGTGCTTGGCAAGCTCCACTTTTCCCTTTTTGCCCTGACACATTGGTTACAAGACAGAGGTTTAGCCAGGGTGTCTGACTAGCTGTCAGAGCTGCCTGGATGGAAGGAGGCGATATTTCTGACTACATTTTCCTGAACACCCAATGACGTAACCACTCTTCCGGATGTGAAAAGGCCGGCGCTCGACAATTTAGAGGGGCAGTAACACAATAAGAAACAAAGTGCTGGGAGGAAGCCTTCACATCCTCCCTTGGCAGCCATGGCCAACCCTTATCAGTCCAGCATGATTGTTGCACTTTCTCTGTTGCCAAACTTAACCCCGAAGCCAGAAGGGAAAAGACTCAGACAGCATAACTCCCTGCAGACAGTCGGAAGGACAGAGGACTCATCCCCGTTATCAAAAAAGAGACGGTTGGGAGAAACACAAATAGACTACACGTACTGTATGCTGTGTATAGCAGAATAAATGCTAACTTACTTCACAGACCTATAAGTGTCAGGATTTTTCATTGGGGCCAAAACTTATTTTGACATGACAACTGATGGCTGATCCTAGGTGACACATCAAGCTTTACTTTAGCCAAAGCGATGGGGAGAAAAACGCCTGGTATTTTTGAGCTGTAGAAATTCTCACGTGTTTCAGAGTACAGCTCAACACCAAGCGTCTGGGATTATGGTTCTCTTAATGGAAGGTTTCCCTTTAATTGCCCATGATGTGGTTTTTTGATGAATTCACTGTGGCTCGCACTGAAGGCAAGCTGCCCGATTGCAAGGCCCACTGATCTGATCTTGTGCGATGATTGCTGTGCTGCTAAATCTGAGTCAAGCCTTAATGAGTGACACTTTTACAAACTATAAATGTATTTTATATCTCCCTCTCCTGCCACAGTTGGAAGCACCATTTAAGTTATATGTTAACTGGGAATGGAATAGATACTTATGCAACTAAATAAGACAGTAAAGACTTCATGGGTTGAGGGGTTGATGAGTGACAAAAGACAGAAAGACATTTTCCTCCCTACTCTGCTCCACAGGGCAAAGCTCTCCAGACTCCTGGTTCAGCAGTATCCTTCTTCCTCCAAAATATCTTTTGTACACTCCTGTTGGAGACAGGAAACCAGCTACATGGACCATGGGGCTGCTATGAAATGTCTATTTATTTCTACAGCTAAAATTTGAGGGTTCGAATCCTTCATTTATGGGTTTTATTACTTAGCCATAAATAGTCTGGTTTAGAAATGTACAAAGGACATGTCATGTAAAAATTGGCTCCTCTTCATGGGTGCAAGTACAGGCATTTAAAGGCTCAGACATTATTTAGACACCTAGGTCATGTCCACATGAGCATGGACATTTGTTTTCCTGAGAACAAGAAGCAGCAGCACACTGTGTCACTGCTACTTCTTCCTGGGGACACCTGTGCCACGTGCCCTCTGGTGCATAGTAGGTTACCCTGGATAGGGGAGGGGAGGCTGGGCCCAGCAGCCTTACCTGGGATCCTGGGAGCCTCCTGGGGCTGCAGCAGTGGTGATCCTGCCGCCCGGCGCCTGGCCGGCAGCCGGAGAATAGTTCCCACCAGCCAGGCTCCGGTTTTGGGCGGTGTGCGCTGGTGCCGCATATGCCACTCCTCTTTTTTTGTGTGCAGGTTTTATTGACCCCAGGATCCCCCAAAGTCAAGCCCCCCAACGCTGCAACCTTGCAGCACAGAGAAGAGCTGAATGTGCGGCATGTAGTGCCACAGGCATGTCTGCATGCAGCCTAGGGTGCATCTAGATGAGCACATACGTGTGATTTGTGGTGCCTCAGAGCTGTTTGTGGTGCCACAAACTGCACGTGGCACGTGTGCACCTGTTCACTGTGCTGGTTTGCAGAACCATGGGGCTTTTTCGGCTTGGTGCTGCTGCTGCCCTGGGAGGCCTCCAGGACCCCAGGTAAGGCTGCTGAAGCCAGCACAGGTGCTGGCCCCAGCCTCCCCTACCCCACCCAGGTCATTTTGCTATGCACCAGAGCATGTGTGCAGGGGCATGCCCTGGAAGAAAAAGCAGCAGCACAAATATGAGCCAGTGCTATTTGTTCTGTGGGAGAAATGTGCCCCTGCACATGCGCACGTCTTGGGACACGTCCCTAAGTGGGAGTTTGCTCCTATAGTTAAAGGAGAGAGTAAAAGGCTCACAAAAACAGTGGCTTGGATGAGGCCCCTTTAGAAAAAGTGAACCCTAGACATTTCTCAGTTTAACAGCATATTTAATTGCTTTAAAAATGTTTTTTATTTTCTTTGTCGGGGTTATTAATCAGGTGTTAAAAAAACCCCAAGCCTCACATTCACCTGGCTTTGAGTAATTCTGATGCCATTTCTCTCACTTGTCCACTTCCCAGGGCTGGATTCAATCAGAGAGATGTCCAATTTCTGCACCAAGATACCCATGACAAATCAATTTGGGGGACGAGGGACGTGCCAGTTGCTCGGCACAAGAAGCATATGGGGATTATATTGAATCTGGCCCTTATTTTCAAACTCCACTACATTATAGATGGAGTACCATCCTGGTTTCTCTACCCTTTTACTCTGGAGTTCACTGCTTTTGAGGGTTTAAATCTAAGTCTTGGTGGTAGCTTTAATTCCCCTTTAAACTGTATTCCTTTTTAGCATGGCTTGAGGTTATGTAAACACATCTAGGAATCATGAAACATGATCTTTTAGGGTTAAAACAGTGTGTTAAATCCTCCTAATGCTTCAACTGTTTAACACAAGAAAAGGCTAATAAATGTGCAAAGTTTTTTACTTGGATTTCTTCCATTTCCTGTAGAAGGTGCTCTCCACCCATAAAGAAAACTTGACAGCAGAGGACTGGGAATGTACTGTACAAACTACGCCAGTATCTTATATTTCCATGTAATAATTCCGTTTCTTTTCATTATATTAAAGAACTCCTTAATGACATACAACAAGTTACACCAACTAATCTGAGTGGCAAGAGGGACACCAAAAAGACTCTGTCTTTTCAACATTTCCACCGCCTCTTCTCCATGAGAAATGACATGAGACACGTCCATCTGCTTACACAGCCTGTACGAGCTCCTTTGGTTTCAGAAATTCTCATTGTATTTCACGGCAGAACCAAATCCGAATGTTTCGTCAGCTGGAAGTGCTTGGCACAAATGTCCTTCATTTGTTATTTCAGGCACTAAAGGACAAATGTGTCTGCAGCAAAACAACTTGGACTTAGCTTTGGTAACCCTTGGAGATGAAACACATCTGGCTTCTACTGAAAATTACAGCACAATTACTACCCAATTTAATGCCGTTTTAATATCATCGAGGCTGAGACTCTGAGCCCTTGAGTCACAGGGGAAGGCCGTTCTTCATGCTGAGTGGTGCAAACTTGGTCTTGAATCATCCATCTCTGGCACGATGATAAAACTGTGACTGGCTAAGCAAGAAGGCCTTAGACCCTGTGATTTAAAGGTCAGGCTTATATTGCCACATTTACCAACTAACAATGTGACATTTAGCCCCAGCTGAGTGACATGGAAATTACTCCATATACTCCATATTCAAAAATGTTTCCATGACAAGGACTTTACTGTGTTATATGCGGGACTGATTAGCTCAGAAAGGGAAGTGGGATGGGGAAGATACGGAGCTATGTAGCTGGCTTATCCAGCTACAATGAGTTTCCAAGTAGCATGATTGCTATCCATCTGCTTTACAAAGGAAGAGCGGGATCCTGAGGTGGGAAGCTATCAGAAGTGGTTGAGAGTCAGGATCTGTGATGCTCCTCACTGCTTCATACAAGGGTGGCCCCACCACCGAATGCTTCAGCAGCCTTTGATGGTGTCCTGAGCGGCTCCGCGCCTGTCGCAGACCCGATGGAAGAAGATTGCTTTGTGCCATCGTTGTGCGACAGAGCTGCTAGCAGCCTCCTGCCGTCTGAGCTTGACGGCACGTGATACCTGCCCACCTGTGTCACACCAGTCCTGCCTTGACAAGGACAAGAATGACATAAGGAGCAAGACCCACCTCTATTCTAGGAGACCTGGGGGAGGCTGCTCCAGTGAGAGGTCCTTGGAGAGGACAGAGTGAATATATTTTTAATAGTTGTGGTTGGGCAGGTTGTGGGAGGGAGGAAGAGAAACTGAAGTGGTGGCTCAGGGCAGCAGAAGTTGTGGAGTCATTTGACGAGAGCTGACGGAGAAGCAGCAGTGTTGCAGAGTAACGGGAAGGCTATGACCTTAGCACGTGCTCCAAGGCAGAGCGGAGCATCTGAACTTCCAAGATTTCTGGCTGTCCCCAAGGTCTCCCAGCAAACAGCATAGAAGTGGAGGGACCCTAATGTGGGAACAAGAGCCTCCAGCATACAGAAGTTGCTCATAGTGGACCTGAGAGCCTGATTCTGGATTTGTTCGTCACAAGAGGATTGACCTGCTGATTTAACTTTGGCAGAATTGGGAAAATTGCTCAGGTCTACACCACCCATTTAACTTTGGGAGGCTGGGGAAAATTGCTCAGGTCTACACCATCCATTTAACTTTGGGAGGATTGGGAAAATTGCTCAGGTCTACACCATCCATTTAACTTTGGGAGGATAGGGAAAATTGCTCAGGTCTATACCACCCATTTAACTTTGGGAGGCTGGGGAAAATTGCTCAGGTCTACCCATCCATTTAACTTTGGGAGCATGGGGAAAATTGCTCAGGTCTACACCACCTCCTCCTCTGTTGTAGCAGCAGGAAGCCCTGGTGTGGCCTCCTCTGCCTGACAGTGTCAGCAACCCACTGTTGCTCGATGCCCATGCCCTTTACTGGGGAGGCAGCCTCCAAAGGGGAAAAATATACACCTGCAGTGGGCTGTTAATAACTCCGCCTCTCCTTTCTTTAATGAACATTTCAGCTTGTCTTTTGCCATCAGACACAAGCAGAGCAAGGTTTGGGTTCGAATCGTGGGAGGAATTGCCATCTTTCACCTGCTTGTACTTCTGCTTGTATCATTCCCAAGCTATAACAAGTGAATCCCTGCAAGAACAAGGCTACAAATGACCAGTGCCCTCTCTGCATCCTGACCAGGAACGAAGGCATACAAAAGAGCAGGGAGTCAAGCGGGTGTGCCCTTTGCTAAAAGGGAAAGACCAGGCCCGTTTGATCAGGCAGCTGCTTCCTATGTGGGTTCGCCGCGTCACAGGAAAGTCAACCTATAGCAGCAGCGTTTTCACCCTCCTGCTGCCCCCATACAATTTGCCATCTGTTAAAGGCCACGGAGAAGTTCACCAGATTTGCAACTTGTCACTCGACAGGAAATGTACAAATGTCCGTCTCTAGCATCTGGAGCCCTATTGTCTTTCAGGAGCTGCCGCTTCGATCCACTGAGATCGAAAGCATATTTCTTCCTTTCAGCATATTGTGCATATTCCTCTTCCCTCCTGAACCCTGAAGCAAGTTTTTAAAGCGACAACCAGAAGGATATGCAGGTTACTAAAATGCATGCATAAAAAAAAAAAGAAAGAAAGGCTGTCTGCATACCCGATTAGTGTCCCGACAAAACCACATGGCAAGACGAGGGGCACCTGAACTGAGAAAAACTACTTCATTGTTCCAAAGGTTTACCAGGGCCTTTCAGCTCCCACAGCTCTCAACAGTGATGCGTTGTTTCTTTAATTGGCTGCTAGGATAGTAAATGGCTCTCGAGCCTTTGAGAACTACCCTGTGACACTTGTACAAAAGATACATGAACCACAAGGGTTTTGCTACTACCATGCAGTAAAGAGCCATTTAAGACAGAAAGACACACATGGATACAATGGGCTCTTTAGACCGTTTCCATCAATTAGCCCTCTTGCATGGCTATTTTGGATTTGCGAACACTAAGCTATGATGTGGCACTGGCACTTGGCAATGTCAAAATCCAACTCCCACTGCCCAAGAGCTTAATAATATTTTATTAAAACATCTCAATTACATCATATTTTTGGCTCAACTTTAGCATTTTATCAAAAAAAGGAAACCGCTCAACTAACGTATTTTCTAGTCCTACAAACAAACCTCAAGTGAACTTTATTCCTTGCCTCTAGGTTTACTTAACTGTTCAGATCAATCAAAAAAAAAAGAGTCTGTAGCCTTTTAAAAACTTGGTTTCAGGAGTTTCTAGAGGCACATAAATTACCTTAGCCCCAGCCCCTTTGTTCCTATACAAGATAGTAGTGCTGAAAACAATCACGTCATTAGACAGAGCCAGCCCCTCCTGTTCTGCCTGCATTAAACATTTACATGTGTCACTTTGAGTTAAAGGACTGTGCAATCAGGCCCTCTTTTAAAGTAAATTGCATGAGAACAAGCCAGGCAGCAGCAGACCAGCAATCGTGGCTTTTGTTAACCATTTTCTCACAAACCTTTTTTTACCGCATTAACATCCCAACTCCAATCAAAACAACCAACCCAAGCTCCACGTTCCCAGACAGAGACCTTTAACTCTGAAGGGAATATACATCTTCCCAGCCTCCCAACCCGCTCAGTTGGATCTTAGATGCATATCGGACCACAGACAGGGCCCTGAAGATCACCCGGCCAGCTGACTAGCAATGCAGATCAGAGCAGCAATGGCATCAACAAAAGGAAACGGTTTCCTTCTCTATGAAAGTGTTTTGACTTTGAAGAAAAGCTCGTACTACTGTTTGCATGTTCGACTCCCAGAGAAATGTGTCCAGATTGACTCCCTGCACTGGCTGTGTGTCCAGATGGACAGGGATTCAGTCAGGGACCATTTCCAAGCCATGAACTGGTTGAACTTCAGGACGATGAGGAAGAGTAGGAAGCAGCTGTTTCATTTAAGATGCTATTGCTTTTGTATAACTAGGGTTTGAAACTTTTGGCCCTGCGGACCCTTCAATCCTTCCTACCTGCCCCCTTTTGGCAAGCAGAATGCGCAGAGCTGAGGACACAGGGCTGTACCAGCAAGCCTCAGCATGCTAATGCAATGCTCTGGTCTTGCAACTTGTCCAGCTGTGATGCAGGAGGGATTTGGTGGCTTTGCAGCAGGCCTCTCTGGTGGAAGTTTGAGTAATACTGCTCTGCCAGTCCTGTTCAGCTCCCTTTTACCTTGTACCTTATCACACTCTCCACCTGCTCTGGGCAGCATCCAGGATGTCAGCTGAGATGGATTTACTGTGAAGGACTTGAATCTGTGCTTAACATCTAAGCACTGCAGCCCATTTAAAGGAGCCAGCCACCATGTCAATGTGAACTCTCGCTTAACAACTCCTAATGCAGGAAATGTAGTCACCAGCACAGGCTGTGCCCAGCTACATTATCACTGTTACCCTCCAAACCCACCCCCCATACTGTACAGGGTCACCCCATTGCAAACACCATGGTACAAGATGACACTTACTATGCAGTAAGCCACCAGGGCTCCTTGTGCAAACCCTGCCAGCACATCCGTAGGGTGATGCTTGTGGTCAGACACACGGGACAGTCCTGTGTAAAATGCCATCATGATGAGGGTGAACTGCAGAAGGGGACGTAGCAGGCGGGCTCCTCTCCACGTAAACCTGGCCTGCAGATATAACTGACCAGAGAGAGGAAAAACAAAAGCGAGTGTTAATGCTACAACTTCCTTGCAGCATGCCCAATACAGCAGAACGAATGCACAAGACTAGAGCTATTCAAACATGGCACTGGGATGTTATTCTGCCCTTAGGTGCTTGAGGATGGTGCCCACTGGCCTGAGCAGCGTAGGGTCATAGCGCATGAGTGAACAGGCATTTTGCATTAACAAAAAACAAACGTGGAGGAGAGGGGGGTTCAAAATGAGCCTCCTGGCAGCAGAACTGGAGGGAAGCTACTCCACTGAGTGCAGGTGGGGAACCAAGTAATGCATGTGCACCCTTTGTACTGGATCCCTGAGTGGTAGCAGGATGCTCGTTAATGGGCCGACAAAGAAAAATGACTGGCAGTGAAGTGCATTGCCCTGGTAGTCACACAAACAGACCAAAAAGCTAGCCCATGATTACTCGGGTGAGGAAAGTCAGTGTCCGCCCACCCTAATCATCCAGTAATCGAAATTCTGAATCTCATCTGTGTCACACACACGAGCGGGAGTTGTGGGTCGGGGCGGGGGGGAAGGGATCACTTCTATTTAACAAGGGAAGACCGAAAGGCTTGACCTGACACGAAGCTGAAGTGACGTCAAATGGATATTGTCCCCCCTACAGCTATCTTGAGCCTGTTTCCGTTTCAAACTGTGGGCACGACCTACTTCCCAGGTTCCTGTGGGAACAAGGGAAACCAAAAGGGAAGAGACAACAGGAAAACTGGGACCTTCTGCCCACAAATCAAAGCTGCCTGAGGCTGACCGAGCCTTAGGCAGAGCCACGGCAGAGCACGAGTAGGAGTGCCCCTCCACAAAGTGCTACCTTCCTGTGCACGGGGGAGGAAGTGGGGACAGGGATGGGCAGGGGTGGGGGGTGCAGATGAGGAAGGACTGTAGGTCATGAAGTCATAGTCCCGTCTGGGAGTGTGTGTGTGTGCACGCATGTGTGTGCGCATGCATACGCATGCACGGGGAGGGGAGAGGCCTGGCCACTCTCTTAATACTTACAACATACCTTAATGAATCTAGATTAGTAACCCGGTGTAACAGCCGACATGGCTTTTACTCCCTTAACAATGGAATAGAAAATTCTGAGCACGTGGAGAATCTTTTCAATTGTTGGAGGTAACTGAGTAATGTTTCTTGCCAGCTTTTCAGCTGGTGTGCATGACTTCATTCTTTCGAGTTATATTGATTTATGCTGTATTTTCTGCGCTTTCCTATGTTGCATAAAAGGAGCCAAATTCCCTTGCAAACTCAGGCTGCTTTATATGGCTGCAGTGGTATAAGGTAGGATCATAGGAAAAGTAGGGCTGGAAAGGGCCTCATAAGGTCATCTCATCTAGCCCCCTGCTCAAAGCAAGATTGTCCGTAACTAAAGTACACATAGGGTAAACGAGAATCAAGCCCAGGCATATTTCCATTATATCACAAATAAGACAGTTACATCATCTATCTAGAAAGGAGAATTGGGAAGTTTATAAAGGAGATCACTGTATTGATTAGCTTAATGTGCTCTCTGTTACGTTATAAAAACATGTTATTTATTCTTTTTGGAAAGACTATGGACAAGTAATCTAGCAGATGCTTCAAATTATCTAAATCACATTACAGGTTCTGTAAAATACACTTACACACATGCTGGTGAATGCTTTCCCTATACATTTGTCCTGCGGTTTTGAATTATGTCTATGCTAAGAAGAAAAACTGACAGTGTTTTCCAGATTTAATGTACCTTTCACTCAGAAGTATTTAAAAGCAATTCTCAAGCTATCTGAACTTCACCTACTGTGAAAACGCAGCTAACTCGGAATGGGAATACACAGCTGTTGAATAATACAGAACAATGCTACGTAGCCATTTAAAATTGTTTATTAATAAACACTCTTATTTTAATCTTTTATGCATTTCATTGGCCATGTCTAGACAAGACACTACTGAGCAATAGCAATGAGCTTGTTGCTACTGTGCAGTAGCGTCAGAAAAAACCGTGCAGAGACATTACTGAGCAGTAATGCCGGTTACTGTGCAGTCATTTAGTACTTGGTTATACAAATACTAAATGACTGCGCAGTAATATTTGTGCAGTCTACCGCTCATGTAGATGCAGCCACTGACAGTGGAC